AGCATCCCACCATGTTTCTGTGATGGCAAGATGGATAGACTAGAAGCCAGAAGATCAAACAGGAGCAGAGAATAGAGGCTGAATAATCTGTCCATAGCAGCTACTTCTTTGACCTTTGTAGACTGTGACTTCTTTCAGATGGCCTAACCCATCATGAAGCAACCCCACCATAGCTCTTTGCTCCGTGCTGACCTGCTTGTGCAGCTTCACCTCTTCTAAACTGCTACTCTCTTGTATTCTCCAGGTTACTGAATGTGGCTGTCTTCAGTCTGGCAAGAAGTATGGGAGATAAGGCTCTGTAAGATTGCTTTCTTAGATGGATGTTGGATTGTTCCTAGGCTTTCTTCTGCAGAGATGCCTGCAGGGCGAAGAGTCGTGCCCTGGGTAGCACCATAACTGGCAATATTAATAGGTTCACTTTGTGACTCAGGCTGAGTATGTCAGGTTAAAACAAACATCTTCCTAAAAGTAAAGTGCATGACAGTGTTCCTCTGTAGTTTCAGTGAAGTTTGGAGTATCAAAAGATGTCCAACTTGTCAGCAACATCTCTGATGGGAAAGAGCTACAAAGCAGTTAAGGCTTACTTTCTCGGAGGCAATTTGGAATTTGGAAATAGTGCATAGACTTCATGTTCCAGTCTGAGGCTACTCCAAGATGATCTAGTTTTTGAGTTTTTTGGTTTTGATCATAGTGAAATAGCATTTGGTAACACATTCAGGGAATAGCTTTTCCTTTAGCTTTGGCTGAGGTACTCTGTGCTCTCTTTGCCTCAGTTTCTTCACCAACAAGGTCTCCTGGCCTCTGTGTTTAGAAGCAGGGTTCAAGGAGAAGATGAACTGCTGGAAGTGAAAAAGAATTGTGTCAGGGACTACTTGAGAATATTCAACCCATACAGGTCCATGAGACCAGATGTGTCTCCCATAATATTCTTGTATCCAAGTTAGGGTGTTAAGAGTCTGGATGCATGGACAACTAGACAGATTTAAAAATTAATTGCATAATTGGGCTCAGAGGGTAATGGTTAATGGGTCATACTCTACCTGGAGGTGGGCTACAAGTGGAGTCGTGTAGTCATATCTGCTGGAACCTGCCCTGTTTAACAACTTTATCAATGACCTGAAAAAGGCAACAGGGTGTGCTGTCATCAAGTTAGCAAATGACCCTAAGCTGGGAGGAGCAGTTGGTACACTTGAAGACAGGGCCACTGCAACATAAATTCAAGGAATGGGCTGACAAGCATATTATGAAATACAAAAGGGACAAATACAAAGTCCTGCAACAGGGAAGGACTTCTTTCCAGAAGCACTTCCTTCCTCAAGAAGGAAGAACCCATGTTCTTCCCTCCCAACAGCACAACAGTGTTTTATTGTTGACAGCAATACAGGCTGCAGCCTGACTGCCTGGGGAGCAACTCTGCTGAAAAGGACCTGGGAACTTGGTGGACCTGGAGAAAGGAAGGCTTGGAAGAGTTAGTATGACATAACAGCAGCTTTCCAGTCCTCAAGCAGATTACTGAGAGCATGCAGCCAGGTTGTGCATGCTCTGTAGGACAAGAAATAACTGACATAAAGTGAAACAAGGGCAGTTCTGACTTGATAAAAGGAAAAACTTTTTCACCACAAAGATAACGAGGCAGTGGACCAGGCTGCCTAAAGAGGTTGTACAGTCTCTCCACGTTTTATCAGGTGGATAAAGCCCTGAGCAACCTGGTTTGATCTCACACCTCACCCAGCTTTGAGAAAGAAGTTGGACTACAGACCTGAGGTTCCTGCCAACCTGAATTATTCTAGAAAGATTCTGTAGCAAAGATCAGTTGAAAACCTGTTTAGGTTTGTTCTCAAGGCTTTTCTTAGAGCACTATCAACCTAGAATATACATCCTCTTACCTCCATACATCTGTGCTCATCTCATTGTCCACAGTGCTTGCAAGTGTACTTACCATGCTCCCTTGGAGCCTGCTAACAGGCATAGCCAGTTTACCCTTTCTTTAAACAACAGAGTCAAGTAATACATTTTACATATATTAAAGTAAGGATTAAAATTTCTAGTCTTTTGTGCTGAACATCTTGTTTTTCTGTTCCTGAAATCATGGTGTATTTTCTAGCTGTCAGAACAGTAAGTCATAATTGAATACGTGTATGTTATCTGTGTAACAACTTGTGTTGCCAGATTTACAGTGGTAGCCAAAAGGTAATACTACTTACCTGAAGCTGAATGCAAATCTTTTGCTTTTATTAAGCAGGTCTAATGGTAAGGAGCCTCTTTAAAGTAAGAAAATGGATTTAGGTTTTCTCTCCTTTGTCTTTCATCATGGTTTAAAATGGAATAATGCCAGTGAACTCAGTGGACATACAGTACTATACAAATGATGCAACTGAAATTAAAATCTTATTCTTAGTGGTCTCATTTCAGCACTTCCCTGGATCAAGTGGTTGGTGGTGAGGAAGCTGTTTAACCTGACTACTCCTCCATTTCTCTGTAAATAACAGTAATATAGAAAATACAGAAATTATTTGATGGAAGTTTGTGTGAACATTATAAACACCATATTTTTGCTCTTGATGCATAAGCAAAATGACTGCATCTTCAGCCTAAAAAGGAGCAAGATGATGTCAAATTATGATTAGTTCAAGAATGGCCATGTACATGTTGAGCATGAACATGTTGTACATGAACAAATATATAATGAGAACTTACTACCTATGGTGGAACTGCAGTTTGGTCATACATATTTAAGGCAAACCCAGATCCTGCGAGCAATGATTGAAGGGGCTTGTTATTTCTCTCAGTCCATTGTGTTTGGATTCATTTCAGATCATCATGTTAAATTCTGTCTCTGATCTGCATGGCTATATTGACAAAAGTCAGCTGACCCGGGAGCTGGGAGGAACCTTGGAGTATGGCCACAGTCAGTGGATACATCACCGAACTGTGAGTGTTGGTGTTCTTACACATGTCTACACTCAGAATTGTCCAGATGACAAATGTAGAGCGACCATTCAGTAGTAACTCTTCAGCTGCATTTCAGCCTACAGATTCTGCTAGGGATTCATGGAAAGAGGAAATCCATGACTCAAATAGAGAAAGGTAAATTCCCCAAAAGTTTGTAATAGAAATAGTAATCTGTATTTCACTGTTGACCTGAACTAGGCCCTAACAGTGTCACAGTATTCAGCAAGGCCCTTTGGCACATTCTTAGCTTTTGAATAATTGAAGAGATTCATAGGCCTTCAGCTCATGGTTGAAGTTGAACATATGCTTTATCACTTTACTGAATCAAAGGTCAAGGTTCTCACTGTAATGATTAATTATGTCCATGTTTTTAAGAGAAGAAAAATATTCAAGACACTAGATTTTATTTTCTTTTGTTTTCATTCTTGTGTTATGTAAACATGCACTCCAGCTGGGTCTTATTTTGAGTAACTGAAGAACAGTTAATAATTGTAGGAAGGTAGAAAGGCTTTTTATTCTGTTGCCTTTGAGGAAATTTGTTACAGGTTTGTTTGTTCCCTTTTTGGGTTGGTTAATGAAGCTCAGCGTCTACTTCAAAACAATGTAAACAATTCACTATGGTCCCCAGAAAAGGTGACAGTTTACAAAAACCAGACCTCAAACTCTGGCACATTAGCAGCCAAAATATTGTCCCATCCTACCTAAGTGAAAATGGTCAAAGTTGGGTCCTGAGCCTGGAAAATTTATTTCCCGGAGACTGTATGCAATGTTTGCATCTGTCTGTGTGGGTCTACTTGCAAGAATGGTATGTTAGAGCTCACATCTAAGTAGTCCCAATGTTTTGCAGTGTTCTGAGCAGCCTTGGGTTTGAGTCTGTTGTTGCTGACCTGCAGGTTAGGTCTAACACTTGGAAAAAGAGCTTTTCTGACGTGGCTTTGTTAAGTCAAATCACTTTTGTCACTTTTCTTCTATCATTTTCTGTGCTTTACTGTCCTTATAAAATTAAATTTTACCCTCCTTGAGAACCAGCAAATATTTCAGGTTTCTAAATATGCAAACACAGAATCTGAATTTCCATTAACACAGGTTTGCTACATTTATAGCTGTGTTGACTCAGTGAGTTTAGGATTGAGACATGTGAACAGGCTTACATGTTAAAAGTTTCAAAAATATGAAACTGTCCTTGCAGGAGGGGTGAGTCTGAAGGAATCATCTATATGAGCTTTCAAAATGCTAAAGTCTTGAAAAAAGAGAGGAAGGGAGTAAAAAGAGGCACAAGAAAGGCTGTATTGTTTATTAATGATAAGAGTTTACATAAAGCATGAATATATAGTTTGGTAAACTGTGCAAATAAAAGTGAGACAAGATTTGAGGTGAGTGTAGCTATGTAATCCCCAGATCTTTTGGTTAAATTTGTTTGAAAAACTTTTACCAAGCACAGAGACTTGAAAAAAACCCAGAGATGTCACTTAGGTATATTAAACAATTACTCGTACACACAGGAGTGTGTCGGGGCAAGCATGCTATTAAGTGAAACACTGATAAGCTCATGGTAAGTGGTGCAATCAGCCAGGGAATCTCTGCTGGAGGTTGTCATCAGGGGAGCGTCAGTCTCCATGGCACCTTGAAACAGCCTGACGTTCAGTCTTCATCCTTTTTGCTGCTTCTCTTAGTGTTCTCATATCTTGTTCTGCCAGTGCTTTTTTTCTGAAACAGCTTTAAACTGTTGCTAAACGGTAGCGACACAGCAATCTCACTGCATTGGTTTTTGTTTCTGCTGTCTTATCTTGAATGGCCAGGAGCCTATGAGCTTTGTTGCCCACAGAGTACATTCTGGCTCTTAGTAAACAGCCATTGGTCGTGGATGACTTTATCTGTGTTGCAGTAAGGGTGACATTTCAGCCAACCTAAATCCCGTAGTTTCAGTGATGAGAACAGCAGGCTACAGCTGCTAAGCCAGAGCATATGTGGGTCTGTACTGCTTATGTTGAAAGCAGGCATGAATTTATGGAGAAAAACGGGAAGGCAGCTATGAACCCTGCAGGCATTGCCTCATCTGGGGCATGTTTCAGATCACATATGTGGAAGGTAATTTGTCTCTGCACCTTTTGAATGATGGTCTATCTCCAGTTTGCTTTCCACTGAGGGCACAGCATAATTTTAACTGTCATGGTTGCAAATGAGGAATTCCCATCATTGCTGGAGATGGGAATGCAACTTGCAACAACTATGTAGTGTTTGACTGGATGTAAGAGCATCCCTATTGTTGTTGACTGACTGAAATAATTGAGTGGTTTACATCAATAAGTGTAAAGAATAAAGAGCTATACAGGACAGTTCAGTCCCTAAAGACATTGGTGCATGATTATGAAAAAAACATCCCATGCAGTTACTAGATACAAAGGTTTTAATCACGTCACAAGTCTGAACAATAAATTCTACTCTGAAAAGGCAGCATTCCTTTTTAGCGTTCCTCACTTCCCCTTTCTTCAGTAAAACCACAGATTTCTGACAAGTTTTCTGTCGGTGCACCCAAGTGATAAAGTAACAGCAGTGCTCAGATGAATTTATCCGTTTTAACTGTATTTTCAGTAAGTTGTTCTTTTATTTGTGTACTAATATGAACAGATGGGATGGAGTGACTGGAATGCATTGAGTACAGATAGGCAAGGTGGAGATGCACATTTTCAGAAGTCAGGGGAAAGACAGATTGCTCCTGAGTGAACAACGACTGTATGAACATAAATGTAAAAAGGCTTTGTCCTATATGCTTTTGGAGTCTCCGCAACTTAAATAAAGCCTTAATTAAAATTTTAAACACAGCAGAATTTCCCAGCAAGCATGGGCAGAGATCTAAAATTCCAGTTCTGGCTTTGAAGCTGATGTCCTCTGTGGTTTCATTATGTCTGTTAAGCTCTGGGAGTTCCCCAGCTGGTTCATGGAGCTGATAATACTTGTAGGCCTGTGAAAAGATCATTTGTGACACAAGGATTTCATTTGTAACTTTTAGCATACCCCGAAAAAGGGCAACATGGCCAGCTTTACAGGCGTGTAACACTTGCAGCACACTGTGCCTGAAGTACTAAGCATTGTTAAAGGGCTAAGGGTAAATAGTCAGTCTGTGGCTTTATGCTCTTGCTTTTTCAGGCTATCGAAAACTTTGCAATGACAGTAAAAACAACAGCACAGATGCTACAGACCTTTGGAACAGACCTAGCAGAAACTGAACTTCCCAACGATGTGCAGTGCACAGAGGAGCTCCTCTCCGCCCACACTGACCACCATAGCAAGCTGAAGGTGAAAGTTGTCTCATGATAGCTCCATCAGTGTAATATATGATTTTTGTTTTAACAAAATTTTCTGCCATCATTTGGGAGTCCATTGTCTGGAAACTACCGAAGAGGAGAAAAACCTGGGTTCAGGAGGTCAATTGGATTCAATTACGAAAAAGGACTTTTTACAGTTTCAGGAATGATAAAACAGGGAAATGTCATTTCTACTGTATGAGAGAGTGCGATGGGATCACATCTGGAATAGCATGGGCTCCTGATGAAGAGTTCATCAGAAAGGATGAACCCACACTGGAGCAGATGTAGAGAACATGTGAGAATAATCCAGGAATAGACAGAGTGATCTAACTAGACGATGACTGTCATTTTGTTTTTTAAAAAAAAGTTGGGGCAAGTTTAGCTTTGTGGAGTAAGGCTCAGAAGAAAACATTACTGCTGTCAAGAAATGCCTTAGGTTAAACACAAGAGAAAAAATACTACTTAAGGTATATTAGCACAAGAACAAGTTTTATGCAAGAAGTGTGCAGCGATGTGGGGATTCCTCAGCTGACATGTTAATGTCAGCCTCATCCTCCTTTTCATTGCTCATCTTTCATACTGGGAAGACACCTTCTTCTGTGAACGACTCCTTGATAGCTGAGGTACTATGGCTCAGCATGTCACAAGGTTGCTTAAGGAAATCCCATTAAAAAGTGCAATGTCTCAGCACAGTCTCTCAGCTCACTGAATGATCTGTGGCACACATTCAATTTGTGCTAGAACACTTCATTCTGCCAGTTGCCTGGTCAGAAATGCAATCTGCTCAGATGTTATATACTATTCCTTTTCTCAGAAATATATCTATATTCAGAGTGAATAGATCTAATCTTTGCATTTCTAGAAAGACATATCATCTTTGGTAAACATTTATATTTTGTTCCAAGTATTTAATACCTACGAAAGAATCCTCCTTTAGCATTACTATGCTGTCCATCTAAAAGATATGAGCGTTGTTAGAACAAGTACATACAATTTGTTTGGCTTGTTTTTTTCCCTCAGGATGAGCTGAAACTAGCTGTGAAGCAGGGGGCCACCCTACTGACATGCATTAGGGAGCCAGTCACCCGAAGCGCCAACAGCAAACTCAGTCCAGATGAACTGGAAAATGTGGCAACAGTAGAAAGGTCAGTGAAGCTTGATTACCTCGTGCAAGTTGCTAATTTATTCCTAAGAAATGCAACTGTAATTTAAATGATTTAAATATGCAGACTATAAATTCCCACTGTTTCAGCTATTCAGGATTTATTGGACAGGTAACTCAGAGAATGGAATAGCTTTGAGGAAGTTACTTGATTAAACTGTCAAAGCAAGTTCAAACAAGTCCTGAATTTCTTGGTAATTTTTGGTTGGACCACTAACTACCTGGCTGAAGATTTAATGTGGGACTTACTTTCCCCATAAAATATGCATCCTCCAAACTTCTATGCCTGGTTAGAAAATGGCATCTGAATCCATGTGAGATGAGAGGGTATGTGCTTGTGCATGTCTGTGGAAACACTGGGGGAGGAACAGATGAAGATGATACTCTGAAACATACCCTTCACAGCTGCATAGAAAGAGAGAAATCCCTATTCCTTCTTACAATGCTAGTTATTACCATAAAGCTCTCACCGTGTAGAAGTTTCTACTGTGCCATATGATGCAGTGGAAAGAGAAATGCCGTGCTAGTGTTTCAGCATGTCTGCATTCACTGGGAACAAAGCTGCCAAAAGTAAAGCTGAGCTGATTATTTTTCACTGAATGCTTGAAAATCCTTTAAACAGTCATCCCAAAGGAATTTGCGAATTCATCTTGAATTCAACAACTAGATTTGATTAAAAACACATTTTTCAGGGATAGATTGAAAACAGAACTTTGTTTTTGAGAGGAATAGGGGGGAGCTACTGGCATTTGCCCCAGTAACTTGATGATTCTAGCACTCACTGGGCTTGTAGGAGATCAGGCCTGGTCCCCTGCCTACCCAAACAGTGTCCATCTGTTGAAATACAGGATATTCAGAGAAGACTTTATTTTCTTTTTTTTGTGTTTAAACTGTTCTACTCTGTAATATAATTAATAGATCATTGAGAGACTGAGGATGACTCACCAGTCTGGTGCCAGAAATTTTACTCAAGATGTATGACACCTTGATACTAATTTCTTTGTGAAAGAATGCTTCATCATTTACACAAAGTGAAACAACATCCATAAGGAGGCATTATGACCTTCTAATCTATTGTTTTTAATGGACTGGGAAAGATGATTCAGTTCTTGCCTATTTCTGATGGGTGAAGAAAATGAACAAGATGTAGAGTTCTGCTTTAAGCATTCCTTAAAATAATAATTGCATCACATTCAACCTGCATTAGCCTGGGGTAAATTATCTTTGAAGAATTGGGTGGAAGCTAGGGAGAGACAGCTGCCTTCGGCTGCCAGCTCATAGAACAGCTCTGTGTTCTTGTTGCAGGCCAGCAGGCAGGACTTCAACAGCCACAGTGGATCCATGTAGTTGTCACTCATCAGACACACTCCTGCCTGTCCCACTGCAAATTTCATTCTCTCTTGCTTAAGGGAAAGTTGACACAGAGCCTTTTTACATAGGCATAGGCTTGCCACCATGTCCCTACTCTGCTTTCTGCCTTAAATTGGTGTAACTTAATTATTTCCTATAGTTAATTTCTTTTAAGTTCTTTTTATTCTAATTTCTTAACAGGTTGTTGGCACAGTTGGATGAAACAGAAAAGGCTTTTGATCAATTTTGGACCAAGCATCACCTAAAACTAGAACAATGCCTGCAGCTTCGACACTTTGAACATGATTTTAGAGAGGTATTTCATTTGTTCATTCTGTCTAGCTTTCCCTGGTACATGAGGTCAAATTTTACCCATACTTAGAGTATACTGGCAATCCCAAAAGAAGGTTGGGAGAGAAGCCCTTCGTTACAAAATAGGAAATGGATATTAAAAAGTTAAATTGTTGAGAGCCATCAGCTATCTTACAACATTTGAATAAGGCACAGTGAGGAAAGTGCCAGCCCGTTAGGCCAAAATGTGAAACACCAACTTCATGATAAATCATTTTGCATTTATGTGTGATGTTACCAAATATCACTTCTTCTGTGATGGTAAATTGTCAATCCCACTAGAGTCCATTTAACAGTTCAGAAAGCCCAACTGTCAGCCTAAAGGCTGGAATAATACAGATTCTGGAGTAATAGAGACACTGGAATTACAGGTCTTCAAAACTGTGTGGGCTTAAATAAATAGTGAAATAGTGAAAAGCAGGGCAACTCTTTGAAGAATAGTTGAATGTTGCTTTATTCCTTGGCTTTTCCATTTTGGAACGAGCTGAAAGACTAAACTTGAGATGCAGACTCTTCTAAAAGATATAGGTGAATGTTCAGAAGCCATAGGTTTGTTATAATTTTATAAGTATCTTGTGATGGGGTTTTGGGTGGGGTTTTTGTTGGGATTTTGTATGTTTTTTGTTATTGTTTTTTAGGTAAAACTGGCATTGGATAATCTCATGGAAGCACAAGCAGGTTTTGCTGACATTGGAGACAGTGTGACTCGAGTGGAGAACCTCCTGAAGGAACAGAAACAACTGGAAGAGAAAGGACAGGTTTGCACTCAATATAGTATTCTAGCTGCTATAAACATGATCTTCCAGTCACTTCTCAGTCACTGTCCTTACATCACACTTACTCTCCTCTCATGAGTCATTATTTTAAATTGCAGACCTCAGATCCTAATTTCCAGAAGCCAGAGTTGTTCAGCCCCAGTAGTTCCAGTTTGTTACTTGGAAAGCTAGAATCCAGTTCAAAAATTGGTATTTCAAACCAGGAAAGGCTAGGTCCGTCTTTGGAATCTGAAAAGCTCAGAATACTTAACAGGTTACCTTGATCAGATACCTTTTAAGACCATTCTAGTCAGTCTCACAGCAGTTTGAGGAACACCCGTGCCTTCCAATAAACACTTTCACAGACATTTGGACTTTGTAATTCCATCAGCTGTCAGCTGTGATACACATCACATTTAGTATTATTAGAAAGCATTGAAGAAATGAGTAAGTTGAATCAGAGGAGGATGCACATGAACAAATGGAAAAGCTGATGATCATCTCTTTTAAGAATAGGATTAAGATTTAGAAATATTGTGATATTTGCACAGCTTTTCTGCAGAAGCCTAAAGGAATGAAAATTACAGTAATGTGCATTTGCCTTCCATTGTCCACATCACATAAAGTATTGATGCATGCCGTATTCCTGTTAGCCACCTCAAATTTTAACTTAATGTGGCTAAGGTTATGAATAGTACTCTGTAGGATATGAAGAGTTTTCCAAAATATATCTTGGAATCAAAAATAGACTAAAGAACTATAAGCCTGGCAATTAGTGAATGAAAAAAATTTTTTTTTTATTACTGCGAATTTTGCAGGGAAAAAAACTTTTATAATGAATGTCCTCAGTATATGAGAAAGAAGGCAGCATACACTCAAAGAATCAGAGTGGTTCACAGAATGATTAAGGATGGAAGAGAGCTCTGGAGGTCATCTTGTTCAATGCCCTTGCTCAAGCAGGGCCACCCAGACAGGGTTGCCCAAGAGGGCAGGTTGTCCAGCTGGCTTTTTAATATCTTCATGGAGGGAGACTCCCAACCTCACTGAGCAACCTGTTCCAGTGCTCAGTCACCCTCACAATAAAAAAGTGTTTCCTGATGTTCGGATGGAACCTCTTGTGTTTCAATATACTCACAGACAATGAAGTTGGTCTTTAATATAAAGTAAGACACATCAGCTAGATTAATGTCCCAAACCTTTTCCTTCAGGATACAGCAGGGATTACAGAGATGGATTGTCTTTATTATGCATGTCATTTTAAGATCTAACTTTAGATTTTTTTCTCATTAATTTCACAGGAACCTTTAGAGAAGGCCCAGTCCCTAGCTATCCATGGAGAACAGCTCATCCAAAACAACCATTATGCAGTTGACTCCATTAGACCAAAGTGTGTTGAACTCAGGCGTATTTGTGATGACTTTACCAATGAGACCAAGAAAAAGTATGATATTTTGGGAAAGTCTCTTGAGCTGCATAAGCAGTTAGATAAGGTGAGTGAACCTTCTCAGATAACAGCCCTGGTAAGGTTCTATTGAAAATGAATGTTTTTATAAGCTCAGGTATTTTGGACAAAGAGAAAAAGTGTTTATTCCTTTTTTGCTCCATTTCTTCAGAAACTATTACTATAAAAACTGGAGCAGTAGCTTCCCATAATTATGGTCTTAAAATGATGAAAAGTAGGAAATAAAGTTACAAAAAATTTGAGCTAGGCCTAAATTTGAAACAAGAACCAAATCTATTCCAGTGTTTAAAAACAAACAGTTTACTGCTTGTTCAGTTGTTTTCACTTTCTCTGATCTAGCTAGAATAGCAGGCCAAATGCTTTGAGAATGTCTGCACGTGATCTTAGCCATATCTGAAATAGGAATTACCAAAATTTCACGGTAAAAACCTGCTTCGCAGTATTTTTAACTGAGTTTTATAGGCCGAAGAAGTTTTGGGGAGTTTTGATATGGTTCAAATATTTATTTGGTTTTGGATAATTGTGTGACTGAACGCCAAAATGAGGTAGTACAGCTGACAGATTGGATTTGCAGCAACCAGAGCAACAATTCTCCACTTTGCTCAGAATATTATTATTTTACATATTACTGGACATCTAGCCCATGAGAGCGGAATTGAACTTGCTATTGTTCTACTTATCTAGGTGGGGCGACTTGTGGCCAGGAACTGTTGGGTGCTACGAAGTAACATTCATTCCCTTTAGTGACATGTTAGGGCAAATCTATATTTCATGGAGTAGATGCAACATTTCACAACATGGACTGTTAGTGATGATGGAATCCTTCTTCCCCCATTTTTCTTTAAAGGCAAGCCAATGGTGTGAAGCTGGAATCTACCTCTTGGCTTCCCAAGCTGTGGACAAGTGCCAGTCACAAGAGGGAGCTGAAACGGCACTCGTTGAAATTGAGAAGTTCCTGATAACAGCTAAGGAACACCAGCTCTCTAACCCAAAGGAGTTCTACAATCAGTTTGACATGATCCTCACGCCTGAAATAAAGGTAAAACTCCTCAGATGTGTATGCACTCACTTAGAATTTGAAAATTACAATTTGTCTTGTACATCAGAGTGTACTGGGCTATATATTTGAGT